GCACGCAGGTGCCCCGTCCTTGCACGCAGGCGCCCCGTCCTTGCACGCAGGCGCGAAGATAGGCCAGACTTCCATGTTTGCATTTTCACACTTACCTCAACTTGGTGGTTAAAACTTCTAAGGACATGAAAATGTTCACAATCAATAATGCAGTTTTTTTTTTCTTAACATTTCAGCCTGCACTCGCTAGGGAGAGGCAAGTCGTGGATGGCGCTCTCTGCTCCCTGCAGGCCTTCACCTGGGAGTTGGCCTGACCCATGCTGCCTGCAGTCTTGAGGGGACAAGCATGTCGGCTTCAACAAAACCCCTGGCACTGGCAGAGCTAGCCCCCTGCCCCGAGGACAAGCCCAAGGGGAAGCCACTCCTTACCTGGGGCTCTCTCTTTGGCCCCCGCAGCGAGAAGGTGGTTTTCACCAGGAGCGAGGGAAGCCCCGAGGAGAACGTGCTCACCATAACCATTACAGAGACCACCGTCATCGAGTCTGACCTGGGCGTGTGGAGCTCCCGGGCTCTGCTCTACCTCACACTGTGGTTCTTCTTCAGCTTCTGTACCCTGTTCCTCAACAAGTACATCCTGTCCTTGCTGGAAGGGGAGCCCAGCATGCTAGGTAACACGGGCCCCCGGCCTTCTGGGGGTGAGGGCCACTCCCCTCGCATCTGCAGATCAATGCTGGGTCCCTGTGAGAGGCACACGGAAGTGCCCACAGCCCCGGGGAAGGAGGGCACTGAGGGTACTGGCTGTGAGCCGTGTCTGGGATGCAGAACAGCACGTCCTGTCTGCCTGCGCAGTAGGAACGGAGGCAAGTCTCTCCTCTCCCTCCTTCAGGTGCTGTACAGATGCTGTCAACTACGTTCATTGGATGTGTAAAAATACTGGTTCCTTGCTGTTTATATCAGCACAAAACCCGGCTTTCTTATCCACCCAATTTCCTCATGATCATGCTGTTTGTGGGTCTAATGAGGTAAGGGATCTGACGGTTGGGTTGAGTGTTGCGTAAAATGTCTTGGCCATCACCAGGAGTGGGAGGCCAGCTGACTGACCCTATAATTATGGGATCACAGGTGTGTTTTCAGTGCAAACTTTATGTAATCCCCAGGGCTGTCTAGATTTTAGGACAACAAATGGATTGGTCTTGTGGATCTGAATGCAGTCAGAGTCCTTCTGGAACTGCCATGAATCTAAGAGTGGTTTGAGAGGGGTACCCCTCCTCTCCCTGGGCTCGCCACTCTGCGCACGAAGCAGCACCTTGCGGTTGCGGTTGCGGGGCCCCTCCCTGCAGGGCCAGACCTAAGTCTTCATGGGGGAGGCCAGCAGGACGGGGAGCGGGAGGAGGAGGGCAGCTACAAGTGGACTTCTCCATCCCAGTGACACTCTTGGCTTATTTTTAGGTTTGCAACCGTGGTTTTGGGTCTGGTCAGCCTGAAAAATGTGGCGGTTTCGTTTGCTGAGACAGTGAAGAGCTCTGCTCCCATTTTCACTGTGATCATGTCCCGGATGATCCTGGGGGAGTACACAGGTGAGGGGTCCTCTGGCCCCGGCGCCCCTTCCCTGCCCACCTGTGCCCCCTCCCCCCGGGGTGAGGATTCTCCCAGCAGTGGTGCGTGCCGGGGCTCACCTCTCGGAGGTGGACGTTTTCACTTGCGTCCTAGAACATTCTCTGAGCAGCCGCAGTGCCTCACACACTCGCTTTGGCAAGTGTTCACCTCCGCTGAGCGCAGGGCTGTTCAGACATGTGCAGGCCTCGTGGTTGGTGGGGGACACAGGAGCAGGGGAAAGAAGTAAAAAGCAAGTAAAGGAGAAGTCACTGGTCCCGGAAGGTGAGACCGCCTTCTGTGTCACGCGAGGGGCTGCCTGGTGACGGTTGTGTGCTGGCGCGCCCATCGGTCTTGCCCAGGTCGGCCACCTCCTGCGTCCTTCCCGAGCTCGTCTGACAGCCTCCTGCTCTTCACTGCTTCTCAGCTGCACGTCTCTGTTCTCCATAAGGCCCAGAAAGCTGATTTATTTACAAATCGCCAACCTTCAATGACAGCAGACTGTTTCCAACTCCGCGTCACACACGTTCCTGTTTTTCCCACCAGCCTTTTCAAACGGAGCCCATCCAACATTGTTCCGTGAAAATGACCAGAGTGCGGACTAATGCATATACTGCGTAATCTTTCATCTAAGAGCAGTACCGATAGGTGTTTAGATACAGATATGCATTTGCTTCAACTAAGAAAATGACAGGATCTTGAGGCGAGTGGTGGAGGGAGGAGAGCACCGATTCGCAGCTGGACCCCTCCCAGATGTGCCTCCGGAACCACACTCATGTTTGAGGTGGTGGTAAGACGATCCAATCAGAGTGTAAACAGCAATCCCTAGAAATCACAAGCAACAGGAAACAAACGAAGCTGATTGCATATCAAGTGGGGGGGGGGCGCTCAGCCACACTGTTTATTTCAGTGACTTGAAAACAGCATGGTTTGGCTTCCAGCGGTGGTGGCTAAGCTTGTGGCAGACCAGCTCTCTTGTTGAGAACAATGAGAACATCTTGATAAAGCAAAAAGGATCTGTCAAGGAGAATGACCGAGGGGCCAGGATTCTAGAGCTGAGGGTCACCCGCTGCAGGGACCCTGGTGTGTGGCTCCCTCCCCACAGAGGCGTCTGCTGATTCTCGAGCAGTGGCTGGGATTTGGGGCAGAGCAGCCTTGTGGGGCTGCAGGGCTGAGGGCAAGTGGGGCCTGCCAGGGGGACACCCCAGCAAAGCCCTGGGCTCTCCCCCGGGACCCCGAGCATGCCCACGCCCGTGGGTGCCTCCCAACAGCAAAAGCAAGTCCTTCCTAAGAGTGAGACGGCTCTTGTGGCCTTGTGTTCTCTGGGTTTTCACACGTACAGTCTGTCATGCAGCAGACATTTCTAGGAGGACCGGAGGCCAAGACCACATGCTAGAAAACTAAGGGTGCTGGCCCACGGAGGCCCAACATGCCAGGTTCCCTTCCTCCAGCTCTCAGCCTGGCAACTGTGTGGGCCTGGGGGCTGCTCCTCGGTGTGATGGGGGCTCCTTAGTGACTGGAGTCTGGCCAGCACGGTCCTGTGCCGGGAGGTGGCCATCGTCTGCAACGGTCAGCATGGATCTCTCCCACGGAAGACTTCTTCCCTCATACTTTGAATTTCAAAGTAAACTAAATAGGATCTGAAATTGAAGCAACATGAGGCCCAGTGTCCTGTTTCCAAAGTGAATTGCTTTTCTGTTCTGCTCAACTTAAACCCTGTGTCAAGTTTGTTCCTTGGATTTCAGAATGAAGCAAAGAGAAGTGACCTCCACATCGTTGGCAGATTGTGGCCGGAGACTCGTTGAGCCAGGGCGTCAAACTGCCCCCACCTCTGGCTCCCCCTTTTGGACAGACTGGTCCAGAGACCATTCGCCCACCCTCCTCGTTCTCAAGCGAGAGTTTGTGCTATTGCAGTGCCTGGCAGGGCGGGACTTGGGGCTCAGGGCCCCAACCTCGTGCATCCTGCCCGCAGGCCCAGCAGATGCACCTCACGGAGAAAAGCCTTGTGAGGCCCCTGGCCTGGGAGAGGGTGGTGGGCTTGGTGCAGACGTGGATGTGTTGTATTTCCCTCCAGTGTAAAGAACTGGTAGCTGCTCATTTTTAAGCGAAAGTGGAAGTTAGCAGCTTTCGTGAGGGGTATGAAAACGGCCTTGGCGCCCAGAAGAGATTTTGCAGTGGGGAGACTGACCGCGGCATCTCTCCTGTATCTTTTGCCCTTTCCAGGGTTGCTGGTCAACCTCTCCCTCATCCCCGTCATGGGAGGCCTGGCACTGTGCACGGCCACAGAGATAAGCTTCAATGTCCTGGGGTTTTCGGCTGCGTTGTCCACCAACATCATGGACTGGTGAGTCAGGAAGAGCGTGGGGACACATGGTGTGATCAGGATGATGGACATTTAGGTCCAGATTAGCTTAGAATTACATCCCATAATTGAAAGCTGGACGCATCTGATGCTGCCTTTTGCGAAATACCAAACACCTTGTATCTCAATAAGGTAACCTTTTCTCAAAAAACAAGCCAGAGTTTGGCAACACGTGGTCTTGGTATGAAGAACACTCATCGTAGGGACGTGGTTAGCTAACATGCCGGAGTGCCCTTGTGGGTTCATGCGTCTGCATTCAGCTAAGCAAAGGGGAAGAGGCCGTCCTGCAGCTGGAACAAAGGGGCAGTTTCTGGTCTGTGCCCAGGGCCGGCACCAGGGAGGGGGCAGCCTGAGTCAGGTGCCGGTGGGAAAGCACCACAGGGGCGGCTCCTTGTCCCGCAGCAGGAAGGGGACGGATGTGTTGCGGGCTGCTCTAGGATTCGTGCAGCCGCCCTGTGTCGGGGCCGTGGTGTTGAGTCCACACTAGGCCCCCGCTAGCCCTGCTCTTTGAGAAGTACTGATTGCCTCTGGAAAAGAGAGGAGACAGCCACACAGGAGTTTATCATTGCCTTTACTGTTAAAGCCGGACAGGCTCACCCTGAAGTTTTCGACACTAGGGCCAAGTAAACATTTAAAAGTCACCTGTAATTTCATTTCTGACATTTAGATGTATTTCTTTCTGGCTTTTTCCCTCTGTGTTTGTAGCTCCTAGAAATCTAATACGGCCTCATCATGCATTTGGTCTGGTTCTGGCTCTGCTCCCTCTGTGGTCCCGTGAGTGTCACGTGCCGGCACCAGGGGCTCTCAGAAGCCTGGGCCTTGTGACCGCCTCCTTGTGTGGCTCGCAGCTGCCTGCGAATTAATGACTCTTTGTCTAGATGTGCAGGGAGCGTCTCCATTGCAGTTTCTGACGTTGTTGGGGTGAATTCCCACCGGAGACACAGAGCCTGAGAGTGTCTGGTTTCTAGTTCTATAGTGAGAGCTTTGGTCTTAACCTTGCCCTCAACTAAGTTTTTGCATCAGAACAAAATGAAACAACCACTGCTTCCGGAGCCCAGAGGGCAGAGTCCCTAGTGGAAGTGGCAAGCCCTTTGGTTCCTGGGGAAGCTGGACGCTGTTTCATTTTCTTGTTGGCCACATGTGTGTTTCCCTTGTGGTGTTTCTGTTTGTTTGGGGGTTTTGTCCATTATTTTTCCACTGGAGTCTTTGTGAGCTTAGACTGTGTTGTTCACCCGCTCCCACACGTTCAGCCCGCAGGTGCCCAGCCTGTGGCAGTTACTGGCTTATGGGAACTCTTGGTTCAGGGCAGGGTTTTGTGCAGCACTTTGAGCAGGGAGATTGGGATCCTGTGATCCCTAAGAGCTACGTAACCTCAGGCACATCGCTCAATCTCTGAGTACCTCAGTTTACCCTTCTGTAAAAGGGGCCAGTCATGGGGCCCCCCTCACAGCAGAGCGATGCCCAGGAATCCCCCGGCATGGGCCCGCCGTGCGGGGGCCATCCCTGAGGCCTGCCGTCATTGTCACCGCTTTGGAAGGATGCAGACGCTCGGTTCCTTTGAGGTCCATGCTGACCCCTTGTATCAACAGCTAACCTCTTCTTTTCTTTATTCTAGTTTGCAAAATGTTTTTTCAAAAAAGCTGCTCAGCGGGGACAAATACAGGTTCTCGTAAGTATCATTGGCCTGTGAAACTCCCAATTTTGTAGGCCCGAAAGGACTTCTTTCCCATTTGAAGGTTCAGAATCCCCTGTAGACCTGACACTTTTCCCACTTTGGCTTACGTGGCTTTTAGAAGTACTTTGTGGAGGGGGTCCCTGGCCAGCCCAGTCGGAAGAGCAGGCGACCCTTGATCTCAGGGTGTGGGTTCGAGCCCCATGTTGGGTGTAGAGATTACTTAAAAAAAAAAATAAACTTTAAAAAATAAGTAAATAAATAAAAGTACTTTGTGGAAACTTGGAAGAAAAGCCCCACCTGTTTCCAGCTGCCTCACTGAAGCAGCTGAAGGGCTGGCTGGTTCATGGCTGCGGGTTGGCCGGCACTCCGACCCTCCCCATCATGCCGCACAAAACAGACTCTGGTGTGCCAGGCGCTTGGGAGCACGCTTGCTGTGAGCTGTCTGCTTGAAAGCTGGCCTCTGCCGCGCAGAGGGAGCGTCAGGAGTCTCTGTTGCCTCCGCAGGGCTGCAGAGCTGCAGTTCTACACCAGTGCCGCAGCCGTGACCATGCTGGTCCCCGCCTGGATCTTCTTCATGGTGAGTTTCAGGACGCCGCTGGGCTCCTGTGCCGACGTTTCTCTGTGGTGACGGGCGAGTGGGACGATTTAACTTTCCAGGCCATGGGGTGGCTCCTTGCTGTGTCACTCACAAGGTCAGCAACGTGCACTTGAGGAGAAGGGAGAGAAGGCTGGAAACCAAACCTTGGACAGGCCTCTGTGCCCGTCGAGGCCAGTGTGTAGCTGCGGAGTTCCCTGAAGTTTGTGTGTGAGGGTCTGGAGGCTTGCTTATTTTATTACTATTTTAAAGTAACATGTGCCCACTTAGAGCAAGCAACAGGGCAGCAGTATGTAGACCAGAGACAAGGTCTGTCCCCTGGTCCCCTGACCCACTCCTCCAAAGCCCCTTTCCAGACCTGTCTGCTAGACTCGGACTCGGATACACGTGTACGTAGTACGATTCCACTAGTCTCATGAAAGCACGTGACCGTGTCCGTGCAGACATTTTTTTTTTTAAACACAAATGGAACTGGGCTGTTCTGTCCTATGCTTGTGTTCTGGGGTGTGACTGCGCCCTGACCTGTCATGGCCCCTTTGACAGACACCTGACTGCCTGGCACATTTCACATGGAACAGGGAGTTTCACGTGTCGTGTCTTTAGCAGACGAGTGTTTCTCTAGGATACATTCTTGGAATTGAAACGGTTGATTGAAAGAATGTGCATATCTAAAAATATTTTTATTGTGATAAAATGTACATAAACATAAAATTGACCATTCTACCCATTTTAAAGTGTACGTCAGATGTGTTCGTGTTGTGGCGCAGCCACCGTCACCGTCCGCGTGCAGACTTTCATTATCTCGGACTGAAACTCTGTCCCTATTAAACAGGAACTCTCCATTTCCCCCATAGGGGAGCGAGACTTTGCCTCTCCCTGCTAGGGTCTCCGGCTGGGTGATTAACAGGGGACGAGCCCACAGACTGATTTAACATAAGCTTTATGTGACACAGAAGCCTCATGAGGAAACCAAAGGAAGGGCGCAGTCTGCATGCGCAGCACGTGCCAGGCTGAACAGGGAGAGGTGACTGTGGGAGAGTGGGCTGTGTGTGGGGTGGAGGCGTGTGAGTCCTGACTCTCGGTCTCTGGTGATGAGCGTGTTTCGTTCCTCCTGCTGCGTGGGCGACCTCCATGTGGGGCCTTTGTCTCCTGCTTCTCAGGGAGGAAAAGGGAGGTCTGGGCCCTTCTTGCTCTTGCTCTTTTTTAAGGGTCTTCCGCCCAAAATAATCCTGATACCAAAGCGGCATATTTGAGTTCTGAGCTACTTCACCGCTCCCTTAGCCCTGGCACCTACACTGTACTTTCTGTCCATATGGATCTGTCAACTCTAGGTCTCTCGTGTAAGTGGAATCCTAGGGGATTTGTCCTTTGGGGATTGGCTTATGTCACTGAGCACGGTGTCCTCAAGGTCCCTCCTGCTCTAGCAGGTGTCGGCACTTCTCCTTTCTAAGGCTGAGTCATAGTCCCTGTGTTGTTGGAGCACGTTTGTCCGTCCATCCACCAATGGACACCTGGGTTGCTTCCACATTTTGGCTCTGGCAGACAGTCCTGCTGTGAACCTGGGCATGCACATAACAATTCAAGACACTGCTCCTGGTTCTTTGGGGAGTGTACCCAGAAGTGGGGTTCCTATTCTTGCAGTAATTTTCTCTTGAACTTGTTGAGGGCCCACCAGACTTTCTGCAGCGGCTGCACCATTTTACTTTCCCGCCAACAGTGCTCGAGGGCCCCACATCCTTGCCTGCACCTGACCTTCCCGTTTTCTGTGTTTGATGGTCACCGTCCTAATGGGTGTTAAGCAGTCTCCCGTTGGACTGTTGGTTTGTATTTCTCGGATGGTCAGTGATGCTGAGCACCTTCTCATGGGCTTATTGGCCATGTGTATATGCACGTTCAGAATGTTGATGGGTGCCGAGTGATTGTCCCCAGAAGGCTGTTTTCAGAGCACTGCTCAACATCAGTTTGTAGACCCGGATGACTGGGTACCTGTGACCCCACACCTCTCTGAGGGTGAGTTGCGGAAGGAAGCTGGGCAGCAGCACAGCGTCGTTCCCGTTCTGACCCACAGGACTTGCCGGTGATCGGCAGAAGTGGGAAGAGCTTCAGTTATAGCCAGGATGTCGTGTTGCTGCTGCTGATGGATGGCGTTCTGTTCCACCTGCAGAGTGTCACGGCCTATGCCCTCATGGGCAAAATTTCCCCCGTGACGTTCAGGTAAGCACAATAGCTTCCTGAGAGACAAAGTGTGCGTCCAGGTCATTTGCAGAGGAGTGGACTTTAAGCCCAGGTATTGTTATGAACGGTCTTTGTGTTTGTCATATGTGAAGTGAGGGCCATGGCCACATGGTGTGACTGCTGGGCTGTGCTGTTCGGTGCCGTGTAAAATATGGTGAAGCACGGGATGTCCATCTCTAGGGAAACCCCACCTACACATTAGCATGGAAACTGGAGCAGTTCGAGTGTTTTTCTGTCTGGGACAGCATGCCAGGGGCACTGCCTGTGATGCTGGAATGTTCTGGGCTGTCCAGTGGGGGGGTCATGGGCACCTGACATGTGGTGAGTGCAGTTAGGAACAGAATTATTTTATGGTTTTATTTATTTACTTATTTATTTGAGAGGGAGAGTGTGTGAGCACAAGCAGGGGGAATGGGACAGGGAGAAGCAGACTCTCCACTGAGCAGGGAGCCCGATGTGGGGCTCGATCCCAGGACCCTGGGACCATGACCCGAGCCGAAGGCAGACGCTTAACAACTGAGCCACCCAGGTGCCCCCAAGGAACTGAATTCTTAATTTTATCTAATTTTAAGCGATTTTAATTCAAATAGCCACACGTAGCCATAGTTCCTGTATCAGAGGCACCGCTATGGAAACAGAGGCCTCTCTGCCTTCTCTTCCTTCTGTAACTGGAAGAGTTTAATGGAAGCACCATTTCAAGACTGGAGAGTTTTCAGTAACAAGCAGAAAAGCATGAGCTTCTGTCGCCAGCAGCCTAGAAATCCACATCCGCAGCTTTGGCCACATCGTGTCATGTAAGTCAGTGGCCTGTTTTTTCAACCTCTGAGCTGGTGGCAGAGCAGGGGAATGGCCCTCAGCTGCGAAGTCCCCGCTGCACTTGCTAGAACTGCAGCGCCCTGAGGCCTCGCCGAGCCGCGCCAGCCTCTGTCTCCCCGGCGCCCCTCTGGGCGGCTAGCGCTCCTCCCTGCCCACGCCGTGGGGCCCAGGTCAGCGCGACAGCCGTGTGCGGCACCAGTCATGTGCCCTGACCTATGACCTGTGCGGTCCTCCCACTTGGTCTGCAGGAATGTTAGCAACTGTCATGATCTTCAGATTTGAAGCCGTGGTGGTCACTGTCTCTATCACACATTCTGATATCCATTTGGGGCCAGGAATTATTTCCAAATATCCCTGAAACTTTGTTTTTTAATGATTGTTAGTGATGGTTCAGAAAAGGGCAAAAAGCAGAAAACCAATTCTTTTTACAGAAAATAGTGTTTTTTGTGTGTTTTATTCCTAAGAGCGATACTTAATCCATTATAGGAAGTTTGGAAAAGACAGAAAAGTACAAAAAGTAAAGCATGTGTAGTCCATGATCCCCAGACACAAGCACTGTGAAGGTTTCAGTGATTTTGTATGAAGTTCCTTTTTACAGGGTCCTACCTAGCCTTGCTCTCACAGTGCTGTTTTCACTGGTCCAACGGTCTCCCCGGGGCCTCCCTGGGTGGCTCCCACTCGTCTCTGCCCATGTCGGTCAGCCTTGGAGTAAGGGTGCTACAACCATTTGCACAATTCTCCTGCTCTTTAACAGCGAGCTGAGCTATGTAGGGGCAAATGTCATAATGTCTGTGATTTACTTAAAAATATTTCGGTCCCAGAAAAGATGAAGCCGATAAAGCAAAATGTTAATTTAGTCTAGACACTGGGAATATGGCTCTTCATTATAACCTGTCCCTGCTTCTCTGTTTGACACCTTTGCTAATAAAGGAGGAGGGAGCCAGTGAGGGAGCGCCCTGGGCCAGGCGGGCAGGCGGGCTGAACCCGGGCCGTAACCCCTGTCATTGCAGTGTCGCCAGCACCGTGAAGCATGCCTTGTCCATTTGGCTCAGTATTATAGTGTTCGGCAACAGAGTCACCAGCCTGTCGGCCGTCGGCACCATCCTAGTGACGGCCGGTGTCCTGCTCTACAACAAAGCCAAGCAGCATCAGCGGGAGGCCATGCAGAGCCTGGCTGTGACCGCCAGCCGGACACCAGAGGATGACATGGAGCCACTGACCCCCAAGGACCCCAGACCACACCACTGAGCTCTGGAAGCCTCGGCAGGTGCCCAGGGCCCCGAGGTGCTGCCCACGGCGGCTGTCCTCGCTGACGCGAACACCCAGCCTCCTCGGGTCAGTGGGGTGATGTGCCTGCCGCCTTCCCTCCTCCTTTCTTGGGTTTTCAGTGAAAACCACCAGGAACGGGTGTCAGCTTCCCCAGGTGGAGACCAGAGCCAGCTGCTGCTGAGCCTGTAATGTGAAAACCCCCTCCTGCTGACCCTGTGCTGAGTGCAGGGGAGGGCGTCAGGACCCACACTGGCCTCTGCACGCCCTCACCAGCACGCAGGGCCGGCTGCAGTTAGGCCAGGCCCAGTTTCCCCGGGGGTGACAGCCACAGGTGCCAACGTGCACCACACCCACGGCACAGTGCCCACTCAGCGTCCCGGGCCTGCACACTGCCCTTCAGCCATCAGGGGTACTGCCATACTGAGACAGAAGGCTGAGGCACCCACTGCCTGGGCCGGAGGCCACAGCAGCCAAGTGACCACAGAGCTAGGAGAGAGTGGAAAGGGCACAGAAATAAGGGTTCCTGCTGCTGAGGGCAGGCTGTTGGGCCCTCACCTTCCTGCCCTTCCACCCACGGCATCCTCCACACCCCAGAGCTGCCAGCAGCTGGTACAACTTAGGGAAAGGCCACTGGTGAAAGGGAAGGTGCCCCACCCCTTTCAGGGTCTCTGCTGCACTAGCCCCCCCCCATCCTGAGGGTCCCAACCCTCACCTGTGGCTGGCCTTCAGTCAGGGACCCCCGAGGTGGTGTTGCTGGTCACTGGTGGAGGACAGACAGACATCTGTGGTGTTTAACTCAGGACAGGGATATACTGACATTCCCTTTTGTTTTTGGGTCCCCTGTTTGTAACACTGGCTGTTCTGAAGGGTTCCCTAGAGGTGCTCCTGCCATCACCCTGCTGGTCAGGGGCCACACCATACCTTGTCTCGTGGGCAAGGATGCTAAGGGTTTCCCTCATGAATGAGTGGGCAGGGGGGCGCTGGGAAGAACATTTGGTGTGTTCACAGTTTTTGTCACATTGCATTTACAATGACAGTGGAGTTTTTAAAGAAGGAAACAGGTGGCTTCTGGAAGGCGTCCTGTATAACAGGTAACCCACACTGAACTCACAGCCTGGCTCGGCCTGGCTCTCACCTCCCAGCGCAGACTGACTACCATGCTGGGCGTCTGAGCCCTTTGCTGGGTTCAGGCTCCTGGCCTCTTCACTCTGCTCCTCATCTCAAATCCTGGTGGAATTTCCGATCGGGGCTGCCAACCAGGCTCTAAGACCTCTCCATGGCGCCAAGCTCACGTGCTGGGGCATGTCACCTGCAGCTGACGCGGAGGACATCGGTGGTGACACGGCCATCTGAGGCCTGCCTGCCACGGCTGAGTGAAGTAGCCGACAGGAGGGCCTCGGGCGCTAACGGCCCCCGCGTCTGAGTTCCCCTCCCTGTTCAGGTCCTTGGCTCCCGTCATCTCTTCACTGGTTTTCCAGTTGGCTTCTCAGCTGGAAAATATAAAAATAGGCCCTCCTAGAGATCAAATCTCTCGGAAACAAAGAGCAATAATTACGTCTCATTAACTTCTTCCTACTTGAAAAAGTTTGCCATGATGATGGGTTACAACAGGCCTTTAAAACTACAACCTTTTATCAATGCCCACATTTTCCACCAAAAACAAAACAAAACAAAAAACTACAACCTTTTTATGAAGCTGACTTCGTAAAGCTGACTTCAAAATGTTATGAAGCTGTGCCCAGAGGACAAGCAGGTGTGCGTTCTACTGCACGTCAAGCTCAGCTCCGCTGTGATGTTTATCATGAGACTCTCCCCCTTTCCTCTCTGCTTCCTCCACAAACAACAGCGAAGGGGACTCGTTGGAGGTGGCTGGGGCGGCAGGATGTACATGCATCTGTGAGGACCAGCGTGAAAGCACGGCCTCCACAGCACCCTGCTCCCCCCTCGAGAATGTGGCTGCCATGACCAGCTACTGACAGGCCGTGAGCAGAGAAGAGGACGCAGCTGTAGTCATCTTGTTGCAAGACAGTTTCATGTTGCCTCTCTCAACGGATGTGGTCATCTGAGCATAGCCAGATGGGCAGCGCCTGCTTCTGAGCCTCATGAGGGACCAACCACCCTGCACGTCACCTGTGCCCTGTCTCCACTGAAGTGGCTTTCTGCCAGTTTTGATTTTCCAAATTCTTGGATCAGAAACAAAATGAAGATTTTCCTAAATTATTAGCAAATGAGATAATTTCCAATAAAGCTGCTTTTGAGACATTTCCTCAAACACAAGCTGTGGCCAGCACTGCGCTGGCCCGGGGCTTACGTTTCTTCTTCCAGTGTCTAGTCTCCACCCTAAAGCATGTGCAGGACAGCCCTGCCAGGAGACAAAACCCATGGCCTGTCTTGGCCATTTGTTGAATGAATGTACAGACATGTTTTTTATTAACTCTGTGTAGTAGTGTTTTTACTAGTATGTTCTTACTGAACCATAGCAGACATGTTTGCATTAACGTTGACACTGGTGTCACCGCTTCCTTGGGTCAGTTCTTCCATGTCCATGATCGTCGTCTGTGCCTTTGCAAAGAAAAAAAACACTTCAAACAGGTGTCAAGTCAGGTCACCTGCTTACCTACATCGATACTTAGAGATGTACGTATGTCTGGCTTTCAAGGAAACTTCCACTGAAGGGCATAAAAAGCTTTTTTTTTTTTTTTTATTCCAGTAGTCATAATTTCCTCTATATCAGCATTAAAAAAATCTGCCTTGGAAAGCTTAGAGTATCTTGCACAATCCAAACTTTGTCTTTAATTTGAGAAAAATACACATGGTGAATCAGAAACAGTCACACGCTGCACAAAGAACATTAGCCAAGTACAGTCGTGCCCATAACCCATGCTGGAAATGCTTTTCCCAGAACCAGTGGGTTCTGCCTGTGAATGGTCACTTGGACGGGCCGGTAGGGATGACACACGCACCACATGGCTTTTTACATCTGTCTGGTGATATGCTTTCCCAAGGCCTGGAAGTATTTTCACTGTTGCCCTGGGTTGGAAAAATAAAAGAGTGTTACTGCAGATAGAAATCTTCTTTTCTTTTGCCTTTGACCAACGTTGTACTAAGGGCTTCATTCTTTCACAAAATCCATACATGCTCTGGTTGGGGCCTCTTCATTCCTTAGTTTATAAATAAGAATGCCCCCAGCTCCCCTGGTGAATCTGCCCGTTTCCCTCTCTCCTGGCTGAGGAGCCAAGAGCAGAGGTGAGGTTGTGCTGACCTCCCTGCGACTCGGGTTGAAAACCTTCAACTTTGCCATCTCTGAAGAATTTCTTCCAGTTTTCCTGAGGGTTCTCATTCTGGGTTTGATGGGCACTGCACCCATGCCGATTCGAAACAGTTGAAAATATTCTAATTGGTAACAATTTTATTTTTTTAAAGATTTTGAGAGACAGCGAGAGAGGGAACACAAGCAGGGGGAGTGGGAGAGGGAGAAGGGGGCTTCCTGCCGAGCAGGGAGCCCGATGTGGGGCTCCATCTGGGATCATGACCTGAGCTGAAGGCAGATGCTTAACCGACTGAGCCACCCAGGCGCCCCTAAAGATTTTATTTTTAAGTAATCTCTACACCCAGTGTGGGGCTCCAACTCACAATAAGATCAAGAGTCACATGCTCCACCGAGCCAGCCAGGTGCTCCCAAATTTTTCCGTTTTTTTCTTTAAGATTTTATTTATTTATTTGAGAGAGAGAATGAGAGAGAGCACGAGAGGGAAGAGGGTCAGAGGGAGAAGCAGACTCCCCGCCGAGCCGGGAGCCCGACGCGGGACTCGATCCCGGGACTCCAGGATCGTGACCTGAGCCGAAGGCAGTCGCTCAACCGACTGAGCCACCCCCGCGCCCTGATTTGAGTAAAACTGACATTCATTGGCTATTCCTAGTCTGTCTGCAGATGTGTAAGTTGATTCTGAACCCGCCCAGGGGGTGTCCTGGGCTCTAGGCTGGGGAGGGCCACAGTCCCGGTGACTTTCCCACACTGGAAAACTTGAGAATTACGTCAATAACTGTCTACATCTGAACCAAGTTTTATCTGCTTTATACCGAACAAAACTGGAGAACCGAAAGTGCGTTGTAAAAATGTGTGTGCCGCTTTCTTTCACCGGTTGTGTTCAAGCGACTGGACCAGTACTTTCTCGAAATATGGTTGTTCAATCTGCGGCGGCGAAGCACCGATGCTCTTGGCCGTTTCTGTCCAAATCAACCACCTGGGACTCTCGTTCTGCAAAAGTACAGTAAACGTGAACCGCGTCCGTGCGCGTTCTCGTCCCTGGGGGACCGTCCTGCGTCTGCGCCCCCGAGCTGATTCCACGGCCGCTTCCTGTGGCCTCCCCAGTTTTCAGCATGAAGGGAGGAAAAAGCGAAGGTTTTCCTGTCCCCAAGAACTCAGGAAAGTCGGTCTCCGTTCCGCTCGCCCGCTTTATGCCCGAATCCGTCACAGGCTGCATTTTCCATTTCAAATGTCACTAATGTGGACGCCTATCTTCCGCTCTCTTCCCCGTCTGCGCGGCCCTCTGAAACCACGAAGGCCGGCGGGGTGCCGAGCGGGGCAGGGACAGGACCCCGGGAGCGAGGGTAGGCGCGCGGCCCAACCAGGCGGCCCGGGCCGGCGGCTCCGGGCCGGCGGGCGGAACCACCGAGGGAAGCCCAGGGCGGAAGTGACGTGAGGCCCGCGCGCCGGATCCCCTCGCTCCCGAGGCGGCGGCGGGCTCCGCCCCTCGTGTGTCATCAGTCCGCGCCGACGCAGGAAGTGGCGACGCTACTGGCGCGCGCCGGGCGCTGTTTCTCCTCAG